TGGAGAAGAGAGAAAAATCTACATGGAGATTTAAGGCTAAAATTAAGGAAGTTATTTCTAATGTTCATTTTGGGGCAGTTCTAGTAGTCTTTGACAGGATCATCTCTGCAGAATCCTAATATTGAAAGAATTATGCAGAACAATTAATTTACCATCTGTCTTCCAAAGCTTTACTTCTTTGATTAGCAGTCTCACAGTGCTCATTAGTCTATGCATAAAGAATAGTAAAGTCCCCCCTTCTACAACTAGTCATAAGAAGCTAACAAATTATATATTTAAAATATGTCAAGAGGTTACCTTTCATTTTCTCTTAATATGTCCCTTCCTTTTTTCCAGGTATAGACAGGTTTTGGAGAAGCTTTAGGTTTACACTCAATGACAACTTCACCTCCCACCTTGACAAGAGTTACTCTTTTTAAAAGGGTTCTTGAAAAATCTGGACCCACAGCTGAAAGAGAATACAGAAAAAACCATAGTTAATTATCATATAAGAAACAACAACAAACTTGGGGCCTGAAAGCAATGATCCAATCAGATCTGCATAAATGCTCACTGCAGCATCACTCACAATAGCAAAAAAGGGGAAGCAACCTAAGTAGCTACCAATACATGGATGGACAAACAAAATGGCCTACAGAAAAAGGAAGTCCTGGTATACCATACAATGAGGATGGACCTCAAAGGCTTTAGGCTGAACAAGACGAATAAATTATAAAAGGAAATATAAATACATTCTCATTTATATAAAATGCCAAAAAATAGGTAATTATACAGATATCAATGGTTTTCACTGGTAGCCAAGAGCAGAAGGAAATAGGGAGGGATAAAATAACTCTCTGGAAGTAGTGGATTTTTTGTCTATGATGATAGGAAACTTGGCATAGATTGAGGGTGATGGTTACACAACTTGATAAATATAACTGTTATCACTAAGTGTACATCATAAAACTAAAAGGGTTATATGACAAAATGTTTATATAATTTGAAAACTACAGTAACAGTTTAAAAAGGCAGATAGACAAACAAGGACTGGCACATTATTTAGGTACAATTAGACACTTCATTTTATTTGTTTTCTTGGTTCCAATGATTTTGGTCAGGGCTTTGTGAATCTACTCAGTTATTTGGCCTAATGTGGGTTTTCTAGCCCATCTCTTAGCTTGGTGACCAGGGCTTGGGTCTTCAAAGCTTGCAAAGCAGCCAACCCAATTATTGCAGTTCTCTGACTGCCTGTAACACCAGAGGAAGAAGAATACCTAGAAATTGGAGATTAAAGTGGGCTGCAGGGTTAACTGCCTTCATAAACTACTACCTCCTCTTCCATGGACCAGAAGAAATGAATGGTACCAGACTACCATCATGAATGTTTTGATCAATAACCCAATTGGTGGATCCTGAACAAAAGGGGAAAATCTGGTAACACATTTGAAATTCATATGGAAACCAGACTTATTGAATCCATTGAGAATGTAGAGGACCCCTGATTATAATACTTGGAAAAAATCTTAAAACTTTGAATAAAAACTACCCAATGAAGTCATCATTAAATTAAACAACAGTTTATCTTGTTTAATAAAGAATGTTTACTATGAACATTGGTGTCTTATTTATATTAGTGCAAGCTGATAACAGTTAATCTAAAGGACAGATAAAAACAGATAAAAAATTACCACCCATGACAAATGACTAGATCCCTACATTTTTACAGGAGCAGACAGCTTCATTTTTCTCATGATGAGGGGCTTGTGAATTTGAACTGCCAAACTCTCAGTTAGCAGTTGTGTTAGGCTGGGTTGAGTAGAGAAACAAATCCAGTGACACTCATGTATGTGTAAGAAAGAGCTTTATATCAAGAAGTAATTGTAAATCAAGAGAACATCCCAACCCAGTCCAACCCAAGGTCATAAGTCGGATACTCGTCCATAAGTCCCTCTTCAGACTCACAGACCCACATGCAATGATGCAGAATGCAGGGGCATCACAGGCTAGTGGGTGCAAACTCTTGTGGAGCCAATGGCAGTGGACACATTTTCAGGCCTTTTGCTGCTGTCAGGGTCAGCAGAGAGAGAGGGCAGCTGGCCTCTGGAGAGCCATTTTTCTTGGTTGCACCTCTAAAGGAGGTTATCAAACTGTTACCTGATTTACAGGCTAACCTCCACGCACATCTTCTTACAGGTGGCATGGTGGCGTGGACACACCACACACACACACACACACACACACACAACGAATTATCACAGCAGTTCTTGCTTACCTAACAGCACCACCAGGCTTTAGGAAGCAGAGTCTAAATGAATCATCGTGTAATAACATGGGTAGAGCTCATGAGAATGGTGCTAGGGACACTGTGAATCCGTGTCTTTGTATATGTAGAAACTGTGTGTTACATAACCTCAGCTTTCACTTTTGCTCCCCAGGAAAAACTGTGACCAGGTCCCAATGAGTCAACGTTTAGATTCTGAAAACTCAACTCAATGTTCACCACCAGTCACATAGTGAGGAAATAATATTAACAAATTATTTCTTTGTTAAACATCTGTAGCCCCTTGGACAGCAAAGAAAGGAATAACAACTTTCTTCAGTTAGTGTGTTCCAAAACTCGTGGTGAGAATGTTAGCTTAAATGGACTCCTCTCTGCGATCTGTTTAAAATTTAAACATCCTGACTCTTTGCATATTGTTGTTGTTGTTAGTTGTGTCAAGTTGATTCTAGCAATGGTGACCATATGTGTTATGAATAAAATTACCCCAGATGGCTATCTTGGCTGTAACCTTATCATAAGCAGATCACTAGGTAGTTTCTTTCAAGGTATCGCTCAAAACCAAACCAAACGCACTGGCATCAGGTCATTGCTGACCACACACACACACACACACACACACACACACACGTGGGTTTCCAACACTGTAACTATTTACAGGAATAGAAAGCCCAGTCTTTCTCTTTTGGAGCTGCTGGAGGTATCGAACTGCTGACCATGCATATCAGAGCCCAACACGTAACCACTGGGGTGGGTTCAAACACCAACCTTAAAGGTAACAGATGAGCTTAAACTTTTTGTGCTACCTAGGGTCTCCCTTAGAGTTTGACCTGATGAAATTTAAGATTTCAGACTATATGAAATGTTAAATTCAAATATTGACGGAAAATTACTCAAAAGAAGACAGTGTGTGTATATGTGAGAGGTGGAGGCAGTTTCTTAATGTATCCAAACCATATGCTAGAGATTAAAAAAACAAAAACCAAGCTTCAGTAGAAGCAAGTTAAATCTTTATGGGATGTCTCTGGTATGGAAATATTTCCAATAATTGTTACAAACAAACAAAAGTAGGAAGGTTTCTTTTGAATGAGATGACACAATGTATACATAAGTCTGATATACCGTGTGAAGGTGAAATTAAATAAATGAATCCAGTAGGTAACTAGTATCTCAATCTATGTACCCTGTATTCATAAAAGGAGTCCATAATTCAGAGAGTAATTTCAGAATGATAACTGCAATTAATAAGTAGAATACAAGTGTAGATTTCAATGACATAATGAGGTAAATGCATTCCTAATATGGTCTAGAAAGTCACATTATAAAAATTACAGGGCTTATGGGAGATAGGGTCACAGCAGACTTACCCACTATATATTTTTTAATTTTAAATTTATTTCATTGTGGACTCTTACAGCTCTTATCACAATCCATACATATATCAATTTTGTCAGACACCTCTTTACATATGTTGTCATTATCTTTTTCAAAAAAATTTATTTCTACTTGAGCCTTTGGCATCAGTTCCTCCTTTTTCAACCCCCCCCCTCCATCCCCCATCCCCCCCTAACAATCTGTAAATTATTCTTTTTTCCCAATGTTTTACACCAACTGCTGTTCCCCTGCCCCTGAGATCCTGCAGAGCAACAAAATTACACAGTGGCCCATCAATAAAGTTTCCAAAAAAAGTGTTTATTCTTGAGTCACAGTAAACATTACATCATCTCCTAAAAGCTTTCTAAAGCTGTCGTCCAGAGAGGCAGAGTGATCAGCCAAGCCAACGTACTATCGTGCCTTAAGACTGCTTTTTGCCACAGGTGGTGGGCTGGAGCTCAGTCAGCTAGTCTTCATTTGTGCTCCAAACGTGCTTCCATCATGGATTTTTTTCTAAATTGGCATTTTCCCCCCTGGAAAGTGTATAAAGTTCCTTTTCAGAATTGAAGCAAGAAAATGAGAGGATTAACAAGGGTAAACTTTAAAATGAGAGTTTGTGAAAAATATGATCACTATGGACAATGTTATCAAAGTCGATGACTCCAGCTATCACCGTCGTTCCCAGAACCCAGACCGAGATTTGCACAACGGATTACCCAACATTTATGCAACACTAACACAATAACAATCTCATCAAGTACATTAGCATGATTCAAAAGACAAGTCACATACCTACTAGATAAATTGTAAGTTAATACTAATTATTCAGGATTTCATTGTGTGTGTGTGTGCGCGCGCGCGCACATGAAAGGAAGTCAGTGGTGTGAACAGAATTGTGTACAGTATGTTTTTACCGTGGTCAGGTATATTCGTCTGTGTTAGTTTGCCTAGTGAGTTTGGTTGGTGATACTTCTTGAACTACACAAATATACCATCTAAGTTATAGGGAAATAATTGCCCCATTTATCAATAGCATATAAACTCACTTGCATTATAGATATGTATTATAACTAGAAAGTGTCAGGCAGAAGCAAGTTAGCAGGGCAGGTGGGCTAGGAGATAGAGCTGGTGAAAACGCTCCAAGGACCCTACAAGAGGCCAGACCCTCTTCCCCCTCCTCCTCCTCCCCTTCGGTGGCCTTCAGGCCCAGGTGCAGAAGATTAACCATTACAGATAACTTTGAACACTGTTGCTTAGTTCCGGACCTGCAGACAGCAAAGTTGCAGTAGAAAGTTTCCCAGCTACTCCCTGCCCCCAGACCCGGGCTATAAAACCCTCCACCTCTTACCTGAACAGTATGACCTTGTGGGACCCCAACTGGGGGTCCTGTGATGCTCCCGTCCCTTTCTCAGCTCTCCCTTCCCTCCTGGAACTCTGAAAGAAACCCTTGAAACTGTTTTCTACCTTGGTTTCTTTCTCTCCGTTATTCAGTCAACCTCACTTTTTTTTAAATCGTTTTATTAGGGGCTCACATGACTCTTATCACAATCCATACATACATCAATTGTGTAAAGCACATTTGTACATACATTGCCCTTGTCATTCTCAAAACATTTCCTCTCCACTTAAGCCCCCAGCATCAGGTCCTTATTTTTCCCCTCCCTCCCCGCTCCCCCCTCCCTCATAAACC